TAAAAACTAATTTAAAATTTTAAACCATTAAATAGAGAAGAAAAAACACATTGAAATGAGCTATTAGTCGATCTCTGTTGCTATTTAAAATTTTCAATGAAGTAGCTCGCCTATCCAAGGTGTTAAAAATTATGTAATGGTCTCAAGAGATGCAGATAACATCACGTGATATAAGTAACATCACTTTCGCCATATTTGTACGAAATTTTGATATTTGTATGTGTTGATGTCATTACATTTTGTTTTTTTGATTATGGTGTATTAATTTCTCAAAAAAACTATTGATGCCTTGGTAGGATTCCCCACTCGACCATTCACTGTTGGGTTCTAATTAACAGTGCTGTTCCCAAAGTGGCACTGGGAAACAGTAACAAAGCCTACACAGAACACGAGGCTAATGGCCGTAGTAGTCGACGCCGATGACACCAAATAAAAAAAAACACACTAAAAATTTATTATTTAAAACAGTGTGTTGTGCAATACTTTTTTTTTATTAATTTATTTAATGTATGCCTATTTCTAACTAGGAGAGTTAAACAACGTCGCTGGTGAGCACGCTACTAGCATTTACAAGCAATTTGTCCGAACCTTGGTGTTCCAAGGTAGAATTCATTAACGAGTCCAACATCAGTGGACTTGAGACTGACGGCTTTACACATCCTCCCAAAGATGGCACAACATACGGTATACCTCGTATTCATTGATATAACGCCTGTAAACTGTGGTATCCAACTACGTGAGTAGTCTGCAAATTAGTCATTGACAACCAGTTCCAATAAGCCTCTTCCCAAGAAATTAGGTAAAATTGCCCTAATGGTCAGATTTAAATTAAAATAACATTAGGGTAGGTACTAAATTTGTTACAAATATTGCAGTTTAATTGATTCTTTGCAAGTGTTGACATTGTATGTATATTGTAAATTTAGTGGAAATTTTAAAAATGGCTAGACGTGTATTAGATGTAGTTAGTCCAATGTGTAGTGTACATAAGTATTTTATGGATGAAAAAGAAAATGGCGGTCCTTTAAAATCGGTAATGTCTGTACAACAACGCGTATGCGATGCTCCAGGAATTAGTGAAACCAAATTAAGAGGAGTATTACAAAATCACAATAGTGAACTGCCGAAAGAAGATCACCGCACAACTCTCCCATCATTGAAAACGACAGATATTCCAGATGGAAAGAAATTTGAAATTCGTGATGCCATTTATCGAATGAGGGCCAACAAGGAGCATGTGACCTTAAATTCAATTCTCTCGGAATTAATAGATAGAAAATTTTACGACATTAGCAGAACAAGTCTATGGCAAGTGATACATAACTTGGGTTTCAAATTTCAAAAGGAGGATAACAGAAAGGCCTTTTGTGAAAGAAGTTCTGTCGTGCACAAGAAAATTAACTTTCTAAGAAAATATTCTAAATTTAAAGAAGAAGGGGCGAATTTTATGTATTTAGATGAAACATGGATATTTTCTAAGGGTGCAACCAAGAGAATATGGCAAGATGATAACGTAAAGTCCATCAAACATACCGATGAAGAAGGGCAGCGACACATAATTTTAAAGGCAGGAGAAAAATCGGGTTTTATAGAAGGTGCTTATTTATTATTTTCATCTAAATCAAAATCCAGTGACTATCACGATAATATGAATACAGAAATGTTTGTAAAATGGTTGCATGAAAAACTTCTCCCAGGTTTAAGTGAGCCCAGCGTAATTATTTTAGACAATGCAGCTTACCATTCTGAAGTATTAAACAAAAGTTCAACGAATTCTTGGACTGTTGATGAAATTAAAGAATGGTTGACAAAGGAACATATACCATTTCCTCAATATATATTAAAATCAGAAATATTACGCTTGGCAAATACACACGAAAAACCAAAAACCTTTGTTGTGGATCAGATTATTGAAAGTTGCTGTCATCAAGTTTTACGTCTGCCACCGTATCATTGCCAGTTTAATCCCATCGAATATATATGGGGAATAGCAAAACAATATTATGACAACCATATTGGGCCTAATGGTTATAGTGACGACGCAATTCGGAAACTTGGCGAAAAGCACTTTCAATTGCAACTCCAGAAGTGTGGCGGAACTGTGTATCCAAGTGCGAGAAACTAATAGAAGATTGGTGGACTCGTGAAAATAAAATAAACGAAATAAGTCCAATCATAATAAAAATTAATGGTGATGACAGTGATGATGATGACGATTATGATGTTTTGGATGATAATGACTAATTTTCATTTTTGTTGGCAAGTTCAATTTTTTTATTTTTCATTTGAAATTCTCTACATGGAACAAATTTTTATGTTAGAAAATATTTTATTTGAGCTAAATAACCCTCTTATTATACATAGACCATATTTTCTGTGTGAAGTGTAATATAAAATTATTATTAGGTTTATAATAGCAACATTAGACTAGATTATTATTTAATTAAAAAGTTGTACATTATTTTTCATTTTATTTAACCAGTTGATATTTCCCCAAAGAACAGGTCAAACTTTCGGGTACTTACCTGGAAATACTTATAAAATATTTAATCCAAAACCCGCGTAAGTATAGCGAACAGACTGTACGACGATTTTCCTTGAATAGTACTAACTGCGGGCGGCCTTACTTGATAGCAGATATTGATCCTCAATTGTGAACCTGTTCCAGTGTTCTGATACAGCTAAGAGGACATATTTAGGAATAACACACCAGTAAGTGTATGCAACAAAAATATTCGGAAGCAGGTAAGTTAACTTTTTAAATAAATGTGTAATATTTAATTTGTATTTTTTGCTTTTTTTTAATTAGTTACTTTTGCTGGCAGTGCGGCTTAAGGAAGCACTAGAAAGTGAAGGTTTGGATCCGGAAACGTATATATTTTTTGATGCCGCGTCATCTATAAATTCTTCTTTGGAAACTAAAATGTCTTCCATGGAAACTAAAGTTTCTTCAGACATTTCCGCCTAGGAAGTAAAGTTTCGTCTGATTGTCTTTCGTGAAAAACGAAATCTCTTCTTTAGAAACTAAACTTTCTTCAGATATCTCCTCTTTAAAAGATGAAATTTCTTCTGACTTTGAAAATAAAATGTCTTCTATAAAAACTGAAATTACTGCTAATATTTCTTCCTTAGAAGAAAATGTGTCTTCTGAAAGTTCTTCTATGGAAAATAAGGTATCATCAGTCGAGAATAAAATAATGTCTTCCATTGAGGAGAAAATAAAACAGATGGAGAAGAAGATAGAAGAACTGGAACATACAGAACCGGCCAAAGACGATAAAATAAAGTGCCATGAGATAGAGTCGAAGTTAAAATTGAAAGGAGCTGTAAATTCTGCTCGTGTTAAAGCCACAACTTTCGACCGGAAGATGTCATGTACCAACTACCTTAAGCAGTTCGATACAGCTACCAGAGCAAACGAATGGTCTGAACGAAAGAAGGCAGTAAATTCGACCATCCGGTTCTTAAATTGCATCAACCACTTAAGGGCTGCATGATTAAACATTTTCTTCCTTATAGGTATTGGTAGAAGTGTTCCACGCACTTTAAAACTGCTAGGATTTCTCTTCTTGTGACGCAGTAATTTCGTTCAGGTTTCGAGAGCACGTTACTAAAATAACCTAATACTCTTTCTTTCCCTTCCTGAATCTGTGAAAGTACTCCTTCAATTCCCATATTACTGGTATCAGTGTCCAGGATAAATTCTCCCTCTGGTAGTGGGTAGCTTAATATTGGCGCTGTTGTTAAATGCCTCTTTAATGTTTCAAAGGCAGTTTGGCAATCTTCGTCCTAGCAGAATTCCCTCGCTTCTTCTGTGAGTCTTGTTAATGACTTGTCTATATCTGCAAACTTCCTGATTAATATACGATAGTACGTACATATGTCATATAACCAGGTTGGAATGTCTGAACAGCTAATAACTGTCATAAAATCCTATATATCTGGACGCACCCAATTTGTTCAATGTCTGGGTCTCAAACCACGTGTATTTTCTCAAACTTCCGGAGTTCCTCAAGGCTCTATTCTAGGTCCTCTTTTCTTCAAAATGTTTGTTAACGATATCGTAACTAATATTGATGTAAAATATTTACTATATGCTGATGATTTAAAACTATTCCTCACCATTCATAACTTGAATGATTGCCACTCTTTACAACGTAATATTAACCTATTAAATGATTGGTGCGCTGCCAACAAATGGTCTCTAAATGCCAATAAATGCAACATAATGACTTTCTCTAGAAAAGAGTCAATCATGCAATTTAATTATATACTTCAGGTGTCTACTACGATTTTAAGCTAACATTCGCTGCTTATATTGATAAGACGGTATCATCTTCTTTTCGAATCTTAGGGTTTCTAACTAGGAACATGAAAGATTTTAGAGAGTTCCATACCGTGAATTTGCTATTCTCAGCTCTTGTTCGATCTAAACTTGAATACGGATGCATTATTTGGAGCCCAATTTATAATAATCAGATAACTCACCTAGGAAGAGTTCAGCGGAGATTTTTTAAATCTGCCACTTTTATTTTAGATGATATATTTCCCGCTAGAGGCACCCCACAAGAATATTTTTTAATATTAAATTAATGGTCTTAAACATAAATGGATTAAAATACATTAAAGGCAATACCGTTCCTTTTCTGCCAGTTTACGATAGGCTCTACCTTGTGATGCCATTTACTTGGTACAACGATAGAACTTTAGGATATATCCATCTATTTCTAATTCATTGGTTTCCTCAGTAGTAAAAATCGACCTGTCTGAACGTTTTCTGGAATATTTTACCATATATTACAGCCCTAGAGCATACATAGTTATAACTGTGGGGATTAGCCAAAAAATATATACTTTTTTAAATTTTCTTTACTCGATGAAGATTTATATTTTATTTAAAGAAAATGCGCTTAAATCCCTGACTAACCACATATCACGGTATGTGTCATCTGTAGCATGGTCTATAAAAGGAGAGCTTTAACTGATTTTGGTTTAGTATTCAGAATTTTCGTTAGTGTGTTAGATTTGCTTACTGTGTCCATCATGCCAATTTTTAAACATTTAAAAAACAAATTAGGGGTAATTTTATTAGCTTTTTTGTTAAATAAAATCAAAGTCGAAAGTTTGGAACATAAATATTCATTAGAAACTAGATTTATTGAAGTACCTTTGGACCATTTTGCTCCATCTACGGGGTCGCAAACCTTTAAATTAAGATATCTGATAAATGCTAAATATCATCTCAAAGAAGGACCTGTGTTCGTTTACACAGGTAATGAAGGTGATATTAGTATTTTCGCTCAAAATACGGGTTTCATGTTTGATATTGCACCTACTTTCAACGCATTACTAGTTTTTATTGAACATAGATATTACGGACAATCGCTACCCTTTGGAAATGCTTCATTTGCTTCGCATGAAAATATGAGGTAAGTATACAATTTTAATTAAATAATTTAACCAAGTTTTAAAATTAGTGACAAATGTTGACAATTATGTTAATAGATTTAGGCCAACTGCAGTATATGTTTCAAATTTTAGTTTTGTGTATCAAATAGAACGCCTGTGACAGGTGGACGCACAGACAAACTAGTCTAGTTAAAATGTTTTTTTGGGTCAAACTTTTTTCTCCGCCTCCGAAAAAATATGAACAAGGTGTCATTCGATTCCGAATAGCGTGTAGATGATTTTTAAAAAAATTCAAGAGCCGCTTGCAAAAATTTCAAAAGTAATAATAATAATAATAATAAACGTCTTTATTTTAATAAGCCTCGGCGGAGTCCAGCATAGCTGTCCAACTCAACCGAGTACCAAATACAAACATTTCATATAATACAAATATACATTGTTATTTAGATTTCAATTATTTAATATACATTTTATATAGACTTTCTTTTTCGACTATTTTTTTAATTTTCTTTCCCGTCCTGAAATTTTGTTGGAAATGCCCCAAAAAAAATTACCTGAAAGTTTGAGCCCTTAATATTAATATTAAGTCCTCGACCAAGGCGTGCAAAGATTTTCCATTTAAAATAGAGGTAAAATTAGGGTCTTTTTCTTCAGATTTCTATAGCTAAGCGGCATTTCATGGTATTATTTCGACCATAGACATGTATTTCTTCAAATTGAACGCTCTACAAAAATGTCTATTGCGGCGATGTCCTAACTCACATCGGCGAGTTAGTACGGGTCACTAAATCGAATTTTTTCATAAAATTCACGTTATTTTGATCCTATGTCATAATTGAGAAGAGTTACAGAAAAAATGTAAATTACAAAGTTGTAGGATATTAAATTTACTACAAAAAATGTCCTGAGAACCAAATCACTAAGATTAATATTTGTCGAGATTCGAGATGTTAAGCCTTGAATTAATTTTACTGTAAAATGTTTGCCGATTATTGACTGAAACTTTTTGATATCTTGTTTTTTTTTTGTATAATGATACATTTAAAATGTTAAAAGTGGTTAACGATACTTCAGAAAGGAGAGTAGCACTGGCTGAAAGTTTTAATGAAGCATTAACTCATAACGAAGTTGAGAGACAAAATTTTTTTCAAACTGTTCAGCATTATCGCTCTCAATATACATCGTGTAAAAAATCACAATATAGTAACAATGAATCAATGTAACGATTAATTTTTCTACTTTCAATAATAATTTATTGGTATTGTTGTTTCTATTTTCATAAATAATTTATTGTTGTTAATATGATTCAAACTAATATAATTTAATAAATGTTAGTAATATATAAAAGTAATTGTTTTATGAAGGAACCAGTAAATCCTTTATTTGTTAAAGATTCTTCAAATATGAGCTTTAACGATGTAAGATATTAATCATGTTCTAGTATTCTAACTTTAAACAAATATATTGAACAAAAAGTGTGATAATACAAAAAAAACATGATTTCAAAAAGTTTCAGTGAAAAATTTTACATTAAAATTAATTCAAGGCTTAATATCTAGAATCTCGACAAATATTGATCTTAGCGATTTGCTTCTTAGAACATTTTTTGTAGTAAATGAAATATCCTACAACTTTGTTATTTACATTTTTTCTGTAACTCTTCTCAATTATGACATAGGGTCGAAATAACGTGAATTTCATCGATTTAGTGACCCGTACTACCTCGCCGATGTGAGTTACGACATCGCCGCAATGGATACTTTTGTAGAGCGTTCAATTTGGAGAAATACACATGTCTATGGTCGAAATAATACAATGAAATGCCGCTAAGCTATAGAAATCTGAAGAAAAAGACCCTAAATTTACGTGTATTTGAAATGGAAAATCTTTGCACGCCTTGGTCGGGGACTTAATATTAATATTAAGGGCTCAAACTTTCAGGGAATTTTTTTTTGAGGCATTTTCAACAAAATTTCAGGACGGGAGCGAAAATAAAAAAAATAGTCGAAAAAAAAAATCACCCTAAATATAGACACAGGCAATAAGAAAATTAACAATACATAAACACAAACTTTAAAATGAAAGACATTTTTTCAGTAATTTTTTAAAGATTTCTAGAGATTTATACAGGGTGTTTCAAAAAGATTGGTCATAAATTATACCACATATTACTGGGTCAAAAATATGACGATTAAACCGTACTTACCTATATACAAAAGTGCACACAAAAATAGTTACAGGGTGTATAAGATAACAATTTAAATGATTTTTTTTTAACGTTGCTCTTAAACCGTTTAGCATTTTTTCATGAAATTTTATATGACGTGTTAGAATACCATGACTAATAATACCGAGGAAGAGTCAATATTTTTTTCTTGATTTTTATAGGTTTTTGGAGGGGGTCACCGTACTTTTCTTCACTCAACTTTTTTGTATTATAAAATTTAATTACAATGAAACGCCACTGGAATGCAACATCCATTTGGAAACTTTTTTTGTCTCCTAGTATTTGTTTGTAATAAGTTTAGTTTAGACGATACAGCTATTTGAAATGACAACTTAAAAATATTCAATGGAAATTCTGCGTATGAAAAATATGAATATCAAGTTTATTTTTAAATTACAAACTGTCATCAAAATAAAAAAATGTAATTCACTATATTTTTCATCTTTGCATTGTTCTATATTTTCTATATTATCTAGAGCCCATTTTCGTTCTCGATAGGCCTCTTTTACTTCTTCACAAGTGTTGCAACATCTATCAGCTGCACCATAGCAGCTACCACATTCTGTTTTATTTCCAGATTGCTGTAAAATTAAGGAAAAAATATATATTTTGTTATTGATTTGTTAAAAACATAATATTTTGCAAGAAATATTATTTAATACTTTCAGTGTTTAATTGCATGGTTACATACATGATGGTTAATTTTAACCACAAGGGATAGGAAGTTGCAATAAACAAAATATAAACACCCAAAAATTCTTTTTGATTCAAAAAATGCAGCTATATCTCCATTCTATAGTTTGTATAGTCGCTGGGGTTCTGCTTATGACAGCAGTATAACAAACAAAAATTGATATATAAATGTTAAAAGATAAACTAGACAGTATAAAAAAAGTACTTCATACTATGAATAAAATTGCTTTTCATTATTTCTTTGTAAAGAATATTTTTCCCTTTTTATCTTTATTTATTCTTATTAACTGCTTATAGAGGTACAATATACTTAAATAAAGTCAGTGACATTTTACAAGGGGTTTTTTGACATATCCTATATTACTGTATAGTGATCAAAAAGGACTAATATATTTTTTTATTATCATTAATTTGATTCAATATGTAAATAGAAAATATGTATATTTAAAAATCAGTAGCATAAAATTACCAAATGCTGATAAAGTAACAAATTGATAGTATTGCTGGCCTTGAAGTTTCTTTTTTATGGGTTGGTTTACTATTTTTACAGTACTGAAATAGAATAATTATGTTTTTATAGATAAAAGTACAATCGGCTATAAGAATATTGTAGTTAAATAATCAATTTCATTATATCTATTGGTAATATTTCATATACCTAATGATTGTACATTTATTCAAAAGTACTGTTTGTTCTATTGAATGCTATTATACAGTTTAAAATATATTAATTAATTAATTAACAGGTGTTCAAAATTACATTCTCCTCCTGTATACACTTACTACATAGTTTTAACAATGAAAATCGAATTTTGATACTTTTGCATACGTATAATTTACATTGAATATTTTTAAGATGTCATTTTAAGTGGCTGTATCGTCTAAACCAAACATTTTACAAACAAATACTAAGAGACAAAAAAGTTTCCAAATAGATGTTGCATTTCAGTAGCGATTTTTAATAAAATTTCATATTACAAAAAAGTTGAGTAGAGAAAGGGGCGGTGACACCCTCCAAAAATCCTATAAAAATAAAAAAAAATATATTGCCTCTACCTCGATTTTGTTAGTCATGGTATTCTAACACGTCATATAAAATTTCATAAAAAAATGTCAAACGTTAAAAAAATTCATTTTAATTTTTATCTTATACACCCTGTAACTATTTTTGGGTGCACTTTTGTATGTAGGTAAGTACGGTTTAATCGATCTATTTTTGACCCAATAATACGTGGTATAATTAATGACCAATCTTTTTGAAACACCCTGTATATAGCGACTGCATTGTATGAGAAAGATCTCTTGTAGAGAGTTGTTCTATGTTTAGGTATAACAAGAAGGCTCGTATTTCTAGTATTTCGGTTATGAACATTCGAGATAAATGCCAATTCTTTCCTAAGGTATGCTAGATTATTATTTCTCAGCATTTTGTGTACAAAGGAAGCCATATGAAGTTTGCGTCTATTAAACATATTAAGCCACTCCAATTCTTTCAATTTGTTTGAAACATGATCTCTAGATGTTAATGTAAAAATGAGCCTAACGCACGAGTTTTGAATTCTCTGTAGCCTCGCCGAGTGTACATCTAAACATGGCCCATAAACAAAATCAGCATAATTGGTATGACTTAATATTAACGTCTCACAGAGTTGTATTTTTAGAGATGCATTCAAAAAAGATCTGCTTCGATATAGATTTTTTAAAGAGCAATAACATTTTTGGACAGTGGATCTAACTTGTTCCTTAAATCTCAATTTAGTGTCGATATAAATTTCTAAACTTTTGACTAAGCCACATGACTTAACTACCACATTATCAATTTCGATATTCAAATTATCTTTTATACCTTTGGTAACATTACCAAAGCATATTGCTTGAGTTTTTGCCGGATTTATTTTTAGCCCATGTTTAACTGAATACTCGAATAGACAGAGTATTACCCAGTTCATTAACTAAGAAACTCTTGTAAATTTGAGTATCAGCAAATTGATCTATTGCACAGTTCACAGCATTATTGTTAAGATCAATTGTATATATAAGATAAAGAAGAGGTCTAAGAATTGAGCCCTGTGGCACACCTTTGTCAATTATTCTTGAGCT